AGGAGGCACGGAGACAGAGCACCTGCGTGGCGGTGGGAAATGGCCACACCTTCCTCTGCTCTTCTGACCACCCGGGATTCCGAGCAGGAGGCCGGACTGTGGAGCGATGCTCTGCGGATCTGCAAGGACTACATGCCTGGCCAGCTGGAGGCTCTCCAGGAAGAATATGAACGGGAAGCTACCAAGAAAGGGGCCAGGTAGGAAGCCAGGAGGCCAGGGAATGTTGGCAAAGCTAGGGGTGGGTCCCGAAGCCTGCGCAGGATGGGCCACCCTGCTGCGCCCCCCTCCTGGTCAGCACCCTGCCATCACACAGGGGTATGGAGGGCTTTGTAGAACAAGCTCAGCAGTGGGAGCAGGCTGGAGAGTACAGCCGTGCAGTCGACTGTTACCTCAAGGTGCGGGACGCAGGAAGCAGCAGTCTTGTGGAGAAATGCTGGATGAAGGTGAGGACGCCCAGACCCTCCCCGGCCCTCCTTGCCCTATGCTTCCCTCTGTGCCCGGTTGTGTTGCTCAAACGTCCACCTTTTCCTTCTGGTTTCACTCAGGGAGCAGGTGTCTACTGAGTGCCCCCTGGAGGCAATAGCTAGACTATCAAACCACTGCAGGCAGAGCCCTGACAGCCAGAAGCTGAGTTTGGCATGGTCCAATTAATACTGTGTCTGAGTGAATGAATGCCAAAGTGTGTGATTCAAAGTGGAGTTCTGGGAGAGTGTGGTGGAGGACCAGGAAGGGTTTGTGAGGGAGGAGCGAGGAGGGCAACTAGACAGAGGCCATGAAGGTCTTCCTGTCCATGGCAAGCCGCTCCTGAAAAGCCTTCCTCAGATAAGCCAGGCTACTCTTGGACACACTTTCGACCATGGTTCACAGACTTTGAAACGAGGATACCTGTATAATTTAAATAATACCTCTTTGATTCAGTGAACTATGGTACAGGGAGCTAGAGGGGTGTGTGTGGGAAAATGTTGGTGTGATGATGCCCCTGCAAAACTTCCTGTAGGTGGTTTCTGAGGCCTTGTCAGGAAGAGCCCGTAGATGTCAGAGGAAAAGGAAGTAGGAGTCACATTTGGTGACTGGCTATGAGATTTTAGCTTTCTTCATTTGTTTTCCTCTGGGGCATTGTTTCCCGGGTCTGTGCATGGCTATACCTTCTGCAGATGAGTCAGAGGAGAGCTTTCTAGATAGGCTTTGAAAGATTTGATAGGCAAAACCCACGGTCATTGAGTCGATTCTGACTCAGGGTGATTCTGGCTATGTAGAGTTTCCAAAGCAGTAAATCCTCACTGGAGTCACCTGATCATGCTAAGGCCCCGCCGTGGGATTTGTTGCTCATACCCATTTCCATGTCTCTTTAACCACTCAGGCAGCTGAACTCTCCATCAAGTTTCTGCCTCCCCAGCGCAGTCTGGAAGTCATTCGGGCTGTAGGACCCCAGCTGATTGGAATTGGAAAGCACAATGCGGTCAGTAGGGTGCTGGCCATGAACAGCACAAGGGGAGAATATAGGACTATCCGGTGGGCCTCCTGGCAGCTGGGCAGGCAGTTCTGGGGACATAGAGGAGAAAGCTCACAGGCGTGGGCAGTGGAAGGGGAGGAGCAGCTCCAGTCTCTGACTTCCCGCCGTGCAGGCTGCAGAGCTCTATCTGAACCTGGACTTAGTCAAGGAAGCAATCGATGCCTTCATCGAGGGTGAGGAGTGGAACAAGGCCAAGCGCGTGGCTAAGGAGCTTGATCCCCGGTAATCTCCTGAGCCCCTCATTGGCAAATCCTTTGACCTCCTTGGTGGGGAGGGGGAGCGTAGTTATGGTGTCTAGGATGTGAGCCAGAGCTCTCTCTACACCCTCCCAGGTACGAAGACTACGTGGACCAGCATTACAAAGAGTTCCTGAAGAATCAGGGCAAAGTGGACTCGGTGAGACTGCAGCTAGCAGGAGGCAGAATACAGGGAGAGGCTCAAGAAAGCTGCCCTCTTTTCTCTCCCCTGACAGTTTCCTCCTGTAACTCTCATTTCAACTGATCCCTAGCTGGTGGGCGTGGATGTGGTGGCTGCTCTGGACCTGTATGTGGAGCAGGGACAGTGGGACAAGTGCATTGAAACGGCGACCAAGCAGGTACTGCTGCCTCTCCTCCCGTTCCCAGCTCTTCTCTACATTTCCCTTTGCTTTCCTACCTGCCTCTGGGGTAGTCTCTCTCCACTGAAGCCCAGACCACGAAGATCAGCATATGAGCCACCAGTCATACTGATCCCAACCTCCCCCATTCTCTTCTCCCACCACGGACAGAACTACAAGATTCTGCACAAATACGTGGCTTTGTATGCGACCCACCTGATCCGCGAGGGCGGCTATGCCCAAGCACTGGCTCTCTATGTGCAACATGGCGCCCCTGCTAACCCACAGGTACCAACTCTCCTTTTCTTGGGGTGGATGTTTTCTTTGTTTTTCTTTTTTTTTTGGGGGGGTGGTGGATGTTTTCAAAGGCTATTCTTATACTCAAAGGATTCCTTCAGTAGAAAACATCACACCTAGTGTTCCTACCTAGCCCCTTCTGAGCTGTATGGACCACCTCTCTGGGAAATGCACCCTTTTGAAGAACACCCAAGGAGCTCCATGCTCTTAGCTAATACACAGGGCGCAGTCTTTCGGAGATAGCTCCTCACACACGCCTAGGGCCTTCCTCACGTCCTTCAGAGAATGAACACAGCTCCCCTGCCTATTGAGCATCACAGCTCTCCGGAGGATTTGCCCATGAACATCATGACTATGCAGTTATGGTTGTACGTGTGCCCAGTCACAGAGCACCACTACAAGAAAGTGCCTTTACTCTTCTCCCCACCCTTCAGCATGGCTGCTCCTCCTTTGGCCCTACCTTCACTGGCTTTCTCTTTGAGTGGTCCTCTTCTCCCTCCCTCCTCTCCCCTCCTACTGACAGAACTTCAACATCTACAAAAGGATCTTCACTGACATGGTGAGCTCACCTGGGACCAACAGCGCCGAGGCCTACCATAGCTGGGCCGATCTTCGGGATGTCTTCTTCAACCTGGTGAGCAAGTTGGGTTGACAAAAAGGTGACTCGCCAACCCGTCCTAGGCTCCTCTTTCATGCACATCAAGTGTTACCCTCCTTCTCTCCAGGTGGCCAGGCGTTGACCACTGATGGTGGCTCCGGCCCACCTTTGACCCCAATGCAGGCTATGTTCTCTTCCTTTCTAGTGTGAAAACCTGAGGAAGTCCAGTGAGGCCGACTCCCCAGCCCACGAGGAGTTTGAGAGCATGCTGCTGATTGCTCATTACTACGCCACGCGCTCAGCAGCCCAGAGCGTCAAACAACTGGTGAGCTGCAGAGGGGCTCGGAGAGCATGCGAAGAGAAGACAGTGCCAGTAACGTGGGTTTGAAGGGATTCACGTTCTGGATTCTCAAGCTTGGGCACTTGAAGCTTCTCCCTTCTCTTAGCTTGTCAAACCCAGTGGTTCTCAACATGTGGGTCTCGACCCCTTTGGGGGTCAAACGACTCTTTCACGGGGGTTGCCCGATTCATTAACAGTAGCAAAATGACAGTTATGAAGTAGCAACGAAAATAATTTGATGGCTGGTGGGGGGTCACCACAACACGAGGAACTGTATTAAAGGGTCATGGCATTAGGAAGGTTGAGAACCACTGGTCTAACCCTTACTGAGAGAGCTTTCCTCATCTTTGGGGCTCTGTACCACAGAGCCTTAACCTCATTATATTTAAACATTCAAAGCCCATAAGCTCCTTATTTACCCTCCTTTGGCTTATTTGTGATAGTGTGCTATGCATTTTATTTATTTATTTGTTTGTTTGTTTGTTTGTTTGTTTGTTAGAACCAGGAGAACAATTAGCGAAGTTTTATTTGCTCATTTTTTGCATTTAAAGTATTCTTCAATAACAACCTTGGCTTGAGATTCTTTGCCATAGTCCTTAACAACCACACAACTGCAACCAACCACTTTCCGGGGTTTTCCTTCTTGGTCAATTTTGCAAAGGCCCACCCACTCTCCTAGTTTCTTGTCATCCACCTTAATGAGGTTGACTTGGTGTGCAGCACACAGGGCCTCCACTAACTTGACATACACAGGCTCATCACAGTGGGATGCAAGCACACAAAGACGAGCTTGGTGCTTGTCTAAGGCTTTGGCAGCTTCGTGAATTCCATGTGCTAGGCCCTCGTGGATGAGGGCGGTCTTCAGCACCTCTTGTAAAGCAGTGTTAACGTCCATGACACCTCCAGCAGCAATGCCTTCCTTGGCCATGGCGGTAGGTTACGGGTGGGACCGAATCTTGAACACACCGGAGCCTCCGCTTCCGCACAGCTCGGCGGGGGCAGGGAAAGAGTGCTATGCATTTATTCCGTGCACTTGGATGACAATTCTAAAGGTGTGAAGAACCTTAGAAATTATCTAGGCCCAATTCTTTGTACCAAAGAAAAAAACTTAAGACCCAAATTCTGTGGTTGCCTTAGTGATCCCTCTCTGGCACAGAGCTGATTCCAACTCATAGCTACCCAAAGGACAGAGTAGAACTCTCCCTGTGGGTTTCTAAGACTAAATCTTTACAGGAGCAGAAAGCCGCCTCTTTCTCCCGCAAAGCAGCTGGTGGGTTTTAAACTTAATGACTTCTGAGTTAGTAGCCTAATGGGAAACCCTCACCACCAGCACTCCTGCCTCAGTCCTAAGACCCTAAAAAACACGCTCACTGGTCTGTTCGCTCGATACTAGTGTCTGGATCATGCGTTCATTTTCATCTCTAGGAAACGGTGGCTGCTAGGCTTTCTGTTTCACTCTTACGTCACACCCAGCTACTACCTGCAGACAAGGCCTTCTATGAAGCTGGCACTGCCGCCAAGGTGAGCTCGGACAAGGAAGGGTGGAGTGGAGATTAGAAAGTCTGGAGGTAGAGAATATCCCATTGGCTCAGTTAGGGCAAAGCTGAGTGTGGCTCTGAGGTTATGGAAGAGAGTTCTCCTGCTATCCTCCTGTGTTCTGTCCCCTGGCACTTGTTCTACCACTCCCACTTGTAACTCTCTCTGCCACAGGCAGTGGGCTGGGAGAACATGGCCTTCATCTTCCTCAATCGTTTTTTGGACCTGACTGATGTGAGTAGGAAGTTGTGCCCCAGAAGTTGGGAGGTTTTGCATTATCACAAGCTATGCCTATCTCATGGCTGCCCTCCCTGTCACAGGCGATTGAAGAGGGGACTCTGGACGCCCTTGACCACTCGGACTTTCAAGATACAGACATTCCTTTTGAAGTGCCGCTCCCAGCCAAGCAGCATGTGCCGGTATGGATGCAGAGCTGGAGAAGGGGAAGGCCTCTCCAGTGTGTCAATGCCCTGAAAAGGGAGGACACTTTTGATCATCCTCCCAACCCTTGGCAGTGGGTACTAGGCAGCAGCTTCCTTGTGCTGCTTTCTTTGGAGGGTCCTGATCCTTCACTGTTCCCAGTGGAAGAAGAACCAAATGGGAGAACAGGTTGTGAGTGTGACCAATATCAATAGGGCTGACGGCTGGTGGACTCATCGCCCACTTGCCCTGCCTGTATGAAGCTGCTGCTCCCTGTTCTTCCCAGGAGGCTCAGAGAGAAGAGGTCCGTGACTGGGTGCTCACAGTCTCCATGGACCAGCGACTAGAACAAGTTCTTCCTAGGGATGAGCGAGGTGCCTATGAGGCATCCCTGGTGGCAGCAAGCACTGGAGTTCGGGCACTGCCCTGCCTCATTACAGGTATAGAACTCTCCAGCACCCCATACCCTGTGGTGGGTGGAAAGGAAGCAAAAGTAGTAGCATCAATAAACTTTGTTTTGTTGTTATTCAGTAGGGAATACATCTGATGTTGTACCCCGTTTGCTGTTTGATTTTTACCTCAGTCCCTCTCAAATCCCAATACCGTATATGTTCGTGGATAAGCCGAGTTTTCCAGCACATTTTTAATGCCGTTTTTGTGGTAAAACTGGGTGCCTCGGCTGACATTCTGATCGGCTTATACTCGAGTATATATGGTGTATATGTACTTTTTCTTGTTCCACAGGATATCCCATTCTGAGGAACAAAATTGAATTCCGGCGGCCAGGGAAGGCAGCTAACAAAGACAACTGGAATAAGTTCCTTATGGCCATCAAGGTTAGAAAAACTGTGATGAGGGGGCCGGGGGAGCAGCACTGGAGAGAATCCCAGCACTGAGGGCTGGGGGGTGGGAGACTCCCTGAGCCCTGCTCCCCACCATACCAGTTGGAAGTGATTTTCTTTGCAGTGGGATGTTCTCTCAGCCATACCAATGTGTTTCTCTCATGGCCTTTCCATTTGCTCACAGACCTCCCACAGCCCAGTGTGCCAGGATGTGCTGAAATTCATCAGCCAGTGGTGTGGAGGGCTACCCAGCACCGGCTTCTCCTTTCAGTAACTGATAAGAGCTGAGGGGAGAGTTAGGGCCTCTCTGCATTAAAGCTTTGTAAATAACTGAGATCACTGTATTCTTTGATCAAGGTCACCCCCAACACCAGCTTGGTCCCCCCCCCCCAAGAAATCATAATCGAGTGGAAAAAGAGAGAAAGTTCTTTTATTAACAACTGTTTATATTGCCTTAAGGGCCCCTGCTCAGTGGCAAACCTTGTGGGCCCAGCCTCTGGAACAGCACCTGCTCGATAGAGGGAGAGTCCATGTCAGCAGGGAAAGCAGTAAAGTAAAGGCCTCCACCCAGGTCTAAGAGCAGTTCCCTGCCACCACTCCTACCCGGGCCCCCATCCTCAAGGCCCATTACCTGTCCTAGGCCCAACTTTTCTGGGATGCCTAGATTTCTTGATTTTGGTCCAGTAGCTGCTCATTTTCCTGCCTTTTACATTTGGGAGGTTCAAGCTCTGTCAGTTCTTCCAGCTGCCAAAGAGGGTATGATTAGTACCCTGGCCCTTAGTTTTCCCTGGATGGGCCCTCCTCAGCTGGAGAGCCTCTGACCCTTCCTGTGCATCTTCTTACCTGCTGCTGCAGCCCTTCCTTCCTGCAGGGCCCAACCCCTCGGAGGGTGAGTGCAGCCACACAGCAGTAACCTGAGAGAGCAGCCTCTGCTGCGGACATGATCAGAGAAGGGATCCAAAGAGCCAAGGCTGTGTCCTACAAGGCAAGGTGGAAGGATGGGAACTAACTGGGAGTGGCGCCACAGGGGTAAGTAGGTACACTAAAGGGGCAAAAGGACCAAGGTTTTGAGGACTGCAAAAAGGAGAATGAGAATGTGCTCACATAGATTCTTGTGGGGTCAAAGGGGCAATCAGCATGTCCAGACCCCTGGTCCAGTGGTATCAAAGGATCCAGCAGGCCTGGGTGGCAGTCAGCCATAAGACGGCGACCACCATTGGCCACTGTGAGGGACACAGCAAGCAGGAGGCCCAGGGAGCAGGCAGCAGACAGCAGCAGGTTCACCAGAGCTAGTGCCAGCAGGGCCCAGTGCTGGCAGGGGCACAAGATGAGAGTGAGAGGCTGGGCTACGTGTGGCTAACTTGTCCACTGACTAGTAATTCAGTTTGAGGCTCTTCCCCCTTAAAAAGGTGGAACGGAGTCAACCCCCAACTTCCCGGACTCAAGGCCTCCTTAGAAGCTCGAGTAGTGCCCTCACCAGTGTGGGTCGAAGCAGGTTCCTAGATGCCAGGAGGGCCACAAGTCCCAAGGAAACGCTCTGCGGAAGACAAAAGGCCTGAGGCCTGCTCTGCTCAGCTCCCAGCGTTCCCGCCCTCGGCCGCGCCCCGCCCCGCACGCGCACTCACCAGCAGCCCTGAGCCCACGGAGATGACATTGGCCGTGGTGTACTCCGGAGTGACGGCGCCGCGCGGGTTGGCCACGTGCCGCAGGACGGTGCCATGCAGCACAGCCCCCAGCAGCAGGTTCACGTGGCCCACTAGGATCAGCGCGAGCCCCACACGCATAAGCCGCCGGGGGCCCTGGGCCGCGTCTGCAAAGCATGGGGGAGGGGAGGGCCTGAGCCGGGGGAGAGGAGCACACAGGTCCCAGGTGGCCCCAGGTTCACCATCGGCGATAGGACGGGCAAAGGGTGGTCGCAGGGCAGCCGCCGAAAGGACCGGAAGTTACCGAATCTGCAGAGGTGGCAGCACCTCATTCTGCTCCGCCGCGCCGCACGCTGGGCAGCTCTACCTGGCTCTGGCCCCGCCCTGCGGCCAGGGGCCCAGTTCCGCCCCAAGTACAACCTGAAGCCCAGCCACCGCGCCCCTGGTGGCCGGGCGCCCCACTCCCCCTAGCGGGGAAGGCCAAACACACACGACGCTTTTAGCAAAAAGTAGATTTTTATTACAGCAGCAACTGAGGCGAATGGAACGGCCCTGAGGGCCACCACTGCAGCACCACCCTTCTCTCCCGTCTGCCCCAGCGGGATGGCAGAATTCGGCTCCCCCAGTGCCCAGGGGCCTCTTTTCCACACAGGCTGGGCGGGAGCCAGCAGGTCAGCTACTAGCCCCCAGCTAGAGGGCGACTGCTGAGAAGGCCCAGGCCCACGTCTGTGCAAAACAAGTAAACAAAGTGCAGAGGGGAGGAAGAGGAGCGGGAAGGGTGATACTCAGAACCAGGGGGTCCCCAAAGCCCTCCTGAAGAATAGAGGAGAGAAGGGGCTTCACAGGGTAATACTGACTGGGGGAGGGTCAGGAGGGCTGCTACACATCTAGTGACAGCCACAGCTCAAATTAGGGGCCTGGCCCGAGTGAGCTCTAAGAGGAGACGGTGACAGCAGCTGAGTTGAGGGTGCTGTTCCTGGCAAAATTGAACTTGTTCAGAGTCTCCTCTAGCAGAGAAGTCAGTCTGCTCTGGTCAGCCTGGGGGAGAAGAGCTCAGTGAGACAGGGACTGAGAGCACAGCGGCGCAGGCATGGAGGCAGCCAGGGCAGAGGGAGGAGGACGGCTCACCTCACTAATGAAGCCCAGCTGCACCAGCTCAGCAGCCAACTCCGGGATGTTCTCATCTGACAGCAAGAAATGGAGGGGGTGAGTACACAGAACCCTTAAAATACCCCGCATCAGGTTACCCTGGCTAGGAAAGAGGGATACACGCAAAAGTGTCAGATCCACCCACCAACAGGAGGGGCCAAAATGCTCACCGTCTGTGAGTCAATGTGTTATTGCCTTGTTGCCTCCTCCCTGATTACGTCCCTCAAAGATAAGGCCCCTAGACCCTCTATCCTCCAAGAGAGACTCACTTGGCATCAGGTCACAGCTCAGGTGCCGGTTCAGTTTGTCTTCTAGCTTCAACAGAAGCGTCAGCTGGAGAGTAAGACATTAGAGAATAAGGCTCTCCCCCAACCTCTGGTCACCCAGCACAGCACAGCCCTGCCCTGAGTATTACATGGTGTTTGACTCCCTCCTCCACTGACTCAATGTTGCACTGCATCAGCACCACCTACGGGAGAGAAGACACAGAGGGTCAGTAGAGCAGAGACTAGTCTTTGGTGAAAAACCCTCCACTCTGAGGAGACTTTGCAGCTCTGAGGACATGGCGGCCAGGGAGCAGAAGTCCATCCTGCTCCTTACGAGGAACAAGCCTTCTTTGAAATGGCCTGTTCCCCTTCTACTATGACCACCGAGACATCCACACTCACACAGCCCTCACCTTGCGGGTCTCCACCTCAGCTGGTTCAGGCGTTGGAGTCTTGACAGAGGGGGGCACCACGGGTGATGTCACCTCCTCTTGCTGTGGCTGCTGGGGTCGAGGCAGCCCAAAGGCTGTCAGGGGGTAGATCCCATTCCTGGTGGGAGAGGAAGTCACATGGGCTTTGCATGGGCTTTGGACACCCACTCCTCTTTCTCCACCGAGCCTGTCCTCACTCTTCTCTTACCTGACATCTTCAAGGAATTTATCCAGTTCTAGAGCTGGTGACTGAGAATACCTGGGAGAGAAGGAAGAAGAAAGATGAAAGGAAGGAAACACAATAGCAAATTCAGCCATTACCAAAAACGGTCAGTTTACAGAATCCTCATAGTGACAGTGGCCAAACTGTCCCTCTTAGAGCCTTTAGTTACTCACAGAGTCTGAACCGGTTCTCTTCCTGGTCCTGCAGGGATTTCAGCCAGTACAGCACTAGTATCCATGTTTTTGGTGATCTCCTCTAGAGCATTCTCTGGGATCATGTCTGGAGGGCATGATGAAGTGGGGTGTTATGGACACTCAGATTAATATCCGTTAATGTTATAAAGGCATGGGTTTCCTGTCAGGTCAAGAAATTCCTTTGCCAACAGTTAAGAGAGCATGCCCAGTGATCTTTAACAGAGCTGAGACTTACGTTGGTGTGCCACAATGCAGTGGGCAGCAAGGAGTTTGAGCGATGGCACCTCAAACAGGGCTGGGTGGAATAGAAGTTCTCTGGCTGTTGGTCTGCAAGCAGGCTCAGACTGCAGGCACTTCTGAATGAACTCCTAGAGAAGGCAACAAGGCACTAGGAGCACACATCCCACCATGTTCATCTTTGTATCTCTCGTTACACTCAGCACAAGGCTTTGTATACACTAGGTACTTAGTGCTGATTAAGTGGAACAAACTGAGAAAGGTATCACAAATGGCTCTGAAACCCATAAGGTATTGTATGAAAAATATCATTCTTCTTTCTGGATTTAATTCTTTTTCTTATGATCTTTAATCAGAAGCTTGCTTTCTTCTTTACCGTTCAAACTTTTTTCCTTATTTTCTACCTCTCTGGCCAACACTCACGTAACTGAGCTGCTCCCTCCCTGCCTTTAGAGCCACAGTGATCAAGAACACACATCATCTTTTTTATTTCCCAACAGCATCACAATTTCTTTGGTCTATACAATTTTTTTTCTTGAATCCACTGGATTCTCTCATGCTTCCTCTCAAAACCACCTACCTCCTTTCTATCTCCAGTTTTCCTACTTTCATTCTGATTGCCAACAAGGTCAATTTTTTACTTGGATATTACTAATATTTTACTTGGATATTCCACCCTAATGCTGAATTGGAAACTCGACCCACATTAGCCTCACAACTTTCCATTAGTCTCCCTGCTCCCTATTATACTTACCTCATTAAGGAAGTACCAGCTCGCCTCACTTGTACCTACTCAGGCTCTGTCACTATTTCAATATCCTTAAATCTTTTTGTTTTGTTTTTTTAAACATTTTATTAGGGACTCATACCACTGTTATCGCAATCCATACACACATCAATTGTGTAAACCGCATTTGTACTTCATTCTCAAAACATTTTCTCTCCACTTAAACCCCCGACATTAGGTCCTCATTTTTCCCCTCCCTCCCCGCTCCCCCCTCCCTTATAAGCCCTTGATAGTTTATAAATTGCTATTTTGTCATATCTTGCCCTGTCCGACGTCTCCCCTATCCTTACATCTTTTAAGTATTAGCTCTATCTCATTATTTCAGGATGCTTTCCCTAAAGCTATACATACCGCATTGCAAATGATTGATTTGATTAGCTAATAATGATCGATTTCTTTGAAAATATCAAGAGTATATACCAATGGCCTAAAGCTGGGGTCCTAAAACTTTTTAAACAGGGGGCCAGTTCACTGTCCCTCAGACCTGTTGGAGGGCTGGACTATAGTTTTAAAAAAACTATGAACAAATTCCTATGTACACTGCACATATTTGAAGTAAAAAAACAAAAGGTGGAAAAACACTCAGCAGGCCGGATAAAAGTCCTCGGCAGGCCGCATGTGGCCCACGGGCCGTAGTTTGAGGACCCCAGGCCTAAAGTAACTATCAAATTAGTTGATCTCTTCCTTTGACATAATTAACAACCTTTAACCCCAGTATTATGCATCTTAATCTCCAAAACCTGTGTGTGTACATATATAAAAAACATGGTGGGTACCACCCTAGTGAAATGCTAACTGCTTTTTGTCTATCCTTTCTGTGTTGTGTTCCCTTCCTTCGCTCTTAGAAGAGCACATATTTTAAGCAGGAAGGCAGGTTAGGTAGGAAAGAAAGCCTGGAGATATTTCAAAGTAAAGGAAGGAGTGACTCTGAAGGTCCTTACTCTCTGTAATGGGTCTTCTAGAAGCTGGATGGCACTGCTAATGGCTTCCTGTGGCACATATGAGGACTCTCCATTGCCCTGAATCTCCAGCACTGCCATCTGCAATGAAGGGGAACAGAAGGAAAAGCAGAGGTCTAAGAACTTCAGTGCTCCCACAATTACCCCTAAAGAGTATTAACTTCCCTGCCCTCCCCCACTTTATTTCCCACTCCCACCTTCTAATTTGTCCTGATTTCCCCCTTCCCATCTCATCTCCTTACCTCTAGTGCACACATGCCAAAGGAGTAGATGTCAACTGCTGTTGTCACGTTGGTGACTTCTAAAGAAAACAGAAAAGACTTGGGTGAAAAGGAGATTGAAAATGAGAGGTGGCAATAATGCCTCTTTAAAAAATACCAAAACACTTTTTATATATAGTAATACAGAAATCCGAGACATTTGGATTATGTACCTCAGGTTGCAAAGTAGAAAACTGAGAGATAAAGACAAGGCCAGAAACTGGGTTGTCTCACCTCCGTACTCTGGTGCAAAGAAGTGTAGATTCTTCTGCTCTTCTCGGCAAGTCTTCACATGATTGTTGATCGTGTCGGGAGCCACTGAGAGTAGGGAAAATACCCACAATCTGACCACCATCAGTGAAGCATATTCTTACTCCAGAGAGAGGCCCCCCAAGCCTCTCCTGAAAGTCTCCTTTCTAACCCTCAACAGGCACAAACCTTCCCCCTGCCCATTCTGAACTACAGACCAAAAAATGACCACTGTCTACTTCTCCTTTCTCAAGCCTGCTGCTTCTCATCTAAGGTTCCTAACTCAGCAGCAACATGGCTAAATTAACAGGGACATAGGGGCATGGGGAAAGCTTTGGGCTGGTCATGGAGGAAAGCAGTCTGATAAAAACCTTTGATTTTAAACAAAAACAAAAACAAAAAAACCTTTGATTTGTGGCCTGTTCACCTTCTCAGGGTCCAGATCCATCTAATCCCTGATCACATTAAAATATTTGGCTTTGGCTCTTTCATTCACCTTGAAAATATCATTAAACATAAGCAGCCCTTCCTAATCTAGGGCCGAGACCTCAGGAACTTGGACAATGAAGAGTAAGAATCATTAACATATAACAAAGTAGCTCACTCACCTCCTTCTTACCCACTTTAACAGCCAGAAATTAAAAAATAC